GAAACTAAAACAATGAAGAGGGTTAAAAACAGTACCTTAAGGAGAAAGCAGTATCGCTAAGGGGAAACTAAAACGACCATAAGGCGAAATCATAGACAAAAGAGTTTCCCCTTAAGAGCCGAATACAGGAAGTATATATACATATATAAATCAGGATAGCCGTTAACACTGTTAAATGTATTTACCTTTCTTTATATATATATATATATAATTGTTGCAGCTTTTTTTCAGGTCTTGCTTCTTTGCTTGTCTGTGTGTATAGGCATCTTTATGTGTATATATACATGTGTAAGGATATCTATATTGTCGCCGCTGTTTTTTGAGGTTTTGTTTCTTTGTCCGTATATATGTTTATTAATATATTGATTTATATTGACGTTTTATATGAATAAAGTGAAATGAATGAATGTTTATTTAAAGGGTCTTGCATGCATTAATTATTTTTTATTTTATTTTATATATTCTGTAAATTTCTAGATTTTCTCGTTTAGAGGAAGGATAATTATTATCCACTAGTCATGATCATTATGTGGCTATCTCTATTTTCATGAACATAGAAATAAAATAGTATGTTCGGCGCCATAATAGATTTATCCACAAGCACCATAAACAAACGTTCATTTTATGATATTTAAATTTATTTCTGATAATATAAGGACAAAAAAAAATGTTTAATCAAAACACAAGATGAATCATAGTGAAAGTAATGACTAACTAGGGGCTATCTTGGCAAAGATAAGAGCAATGAAGATACTCATATGACAAAGCTGTACCTACACTATTGCTCTTGTTCTGTGTATTTAGACTAAAGATTACGCTCAAAATTTCATTTGAATATAATTGCTGTCGTCGTTTAAAAATAAATGCATACTTAAACGATAAAGAGGAATTGAAGTTTCCTAATATACCAAATCAAACATAGACAATTCTACTCTTGCATAATGTCACAAAAAGAACTCCCTGTTTTAACATGCAACTATGTATATGTTCATTAAGATTAGGGTCTTCCTGACCACCATTCAATCGCAGTCTAGCTTTATGAAAAAGCTACCGCAATGGGGGCTAATAGCGAAGGGAAGCCCATCTCGAATTCCTGATGATGACATAATTAATGTCGAAATATTGAATCCTAACACGATGGCGTGTATTTCAATACTTGGAGTATGTATTATACTTTCTTATCTGAGATTAATCAGTGGACCTTTCGGTTTTTACATTGTACATGAATTTCAAAACAACCAAAAAAAGAAATTAAAAACACACTTGGTTTATACAGTAGTTTAGGTGATTTAATGCCAGTTAATACACTCAATGACACAGATTGATGTTTCAGTGGCCATATTTATTGTTTTATAGTAGTAATTCCCAAAATTTACAGCATCCAGTTTGAAAAGAAGCCCACCCCCCCCTTCTACTTTGCAAATGTAGCATTGAAAAGAAGCCCATTCAAAGATTGCACGAAAAAAGAAGCCGCCAGCCTTCAATTATTTTATGGTATGTCGATGTTCCCCCAATGGAAACATTTTTACAGGTAAATTTGTCCATAAAAATTCAGCAACGTGTGCAGTGTGAGGTATTACCCCTTTTGAGTGGGGTTTAATGACTTGATGAAATAACAACACATATATTCATAGCTTAGCCATAGACTAGAATGATATTAATGTATTGAAAGAGGGCCAGCCTAGACTACCAAGGCCATATCAGTAGTTTTTTAATTTTACAAACTCAACATTTTTATTGGTTGGCTGGTTATTTTTACCAGTAAAACTGACGGTTAAAACAGCTTCGGGAGAACGTTGTATGTTTATTAAAATATATGATGATTTTACCGGCCTCTACGACAAAGGTAAAGATTTAAAAACCTTGTGAATTCTTGGGAACTTTACCAAGATAATGAAAAACGCTTTGCATGCCGTGATCATTGTGACAAGTTGCTAAATTCGGCGTAATATTGTACACGTGAATGGACATTTCCGGGGTGTCAATCAAAGTTAACCACTGACCAATCAGAACAGAGCCAGCAATGTGGGACCTTAGCAACAATATCCATGGGGCAGGGTTTAGCCACGAGAAAGATTCAAGCAGGATTTGAACCCAGGAACCTGCCATTGGAAGACAAGTGCCATTTAAACCACAAAGCTTCATGTCTACTATTAAATTTGCATGTACTGTATATATATATTTAGGAATTTAGTGTAGTTATTTGCTAATTCATTTACATCTTCTGGACCGGTTTTATAGCAAGAATATCGAAACCTTTGGCCATGACAGCAGCAGTTGCCTCGCATATTAGTAGACGACTCACATTCACATTAATGACTTCACCTAAAAGAAATCAATAAAAATAAAGAAAGCTATTAAATAACCATCTAATGTACAAAGAGGATTTTGGTTGGAGAGAAAACTTGGTGGTGAGAGACAAAATTGAATGGAGTAGAGATAATGTAATATCTTCTAATAATTGGGCTTATGCTGTTGGTCCATTTCATTGACTATGATTTTTTGTTGAGTATTATTTTCATTTGACTGGTTCGTAAATAGGCTTTGTTGACAACCAGAGTGCTTTAAGTTATCCAAATGACCAAAACAAACATGGCCAATTGGTCAGTTTAGCAACAACATTTGCGTTAATATAATTTAGATTAAATTTCGGAAAATAAAAATTATAATATTTACCCACATAAAGTCAAAAAATAATTGTAGGCTACCAGAATTCAAAAACTGGATGAAAATATTTTTTTTAACGAAAAATCCATACTGCCACAACCCGAAGCAACCTTGATTATGCAGCGTGTATCGCGGTAACTATGGAGCTATTTTGATTTTTCAAGTATATACCAGTTTTCTATTCGACTGGTCATCTTTGTTAAGTAGGATTTTACCACGACCAGTCAAATACGGCCAATGTATTTGGCTATATTCTACCAATCAATACATCATATTTAATATCACATGGCTTAATTTTAACCAATCAAGGGAGTACATTTAATTTTCCTAGTAGTTGAATTCAGCCGATCAAAACATCACTATTTACCTGTCTTTCGATCTTTCTCAACACAATAACAGTTGTCGTAGAACTCGGTGAAGGTGGTAGCAATCTCATACAGGAAGTCGCAGAGGGAATGTAACAGCAGATCGTCCAAGATTTTCGTGATTACTTCTGGGAACCTGGCAAGGCATTTAGCCAGCTTCCATTCCTTTTCATGTTCAAGCACAATGGGAGTGGTCTTAGCTGCTTTTGTGAGTTCCTCTTGACTAACATTTGCCAGCCTAGCTATGGATCTGTAAAGTTAATAAATAAGTTAATAAAATCTTTTTTACATGGTTCTAAGAAAAAAACACTCAAGAAAATATTCTTTCTTTTAAGTTTTTATAATAATAATACATCACTCCTATGATATTTTCCTGATGCAAATTCACATCAAAATATCATTTGCAGTACCCACTGCTACCTGGGGATCGGATTCAACAAAAGTCACTAAGTGAAAGTTTGGTGGTCTAGTGATTATGGTGCCATGCTACGTATCTGGAGGTTGTGGGTTCGATCCCCACCCGAATCAAAATATCTGGGGACTACTGAGTATTTGGTAAGATAACACGTCAGGTAGGGCAAAATGTCACTCCTATGGTATTTTCCTGATGCAAACCTGCATCGAAATAATAATAATACTATTAATATTGATAATGATGTAAAGTTATATTTATGGTCTTTGTTGAATTCTATTTCACCTATGTATTTTATTCATTCAATAAACACATAAAGCACCAAACAAACAAACA